CCGGAAAAGAGAAATACAAGGAAAGAGAAAGACAGAGAAAGAGAGAGACGGACAAAGACCTATCGAGAAGGATGGATAGATAAAGAGATAGAGAGATGGGTTTTTAAGGGGTGACAGATACAGTTAGACAGACGGGTAAAGGTAAGATACAAAGGAAATGTGAAGGGGGAGGGGGTAGGGTGGAGGAGAGAACATGTACATGAGATTTCGGTCTGAAAAAAGGGGGGGGGGATAGAATGATCCTATAAACCGGCGCATGAGAAAAAAAGTAGAAATTCAGAATAGAAAGGATTTTCGGCAAGGAATATCTTCTTGGAAGTAGACGTACAAGGCGCTTTCAGTCGAAGCGTATTTAAATGGTCACCGAGCATGCACGCTCGGGGCTAATCCCGGAGTACTTAACTAGAAGCCCTGCCACCTCATAGGCTAAGGGGATTTGTTGCTGGTGAGTATCGTGTGTGAGCTGTTTGTGTGAGTGGCCTTTTTTATGGGAGGTGAGGGTGGAGGTGAGGGGGCGGGTGCGGATAACAGCTTTTGTGAAAAGGGATGTGCGTTAGTCTGAGTGAGTTCGGATGTGTGAGTGAGTGAGTTAGAGTGTGTGTGTGTGTGTATCTGTGTGTATGTATGTGTGTGTATGTGTGTAAGAGATAGAAAATATAAGTGTTAGCTACATTTTGTGAGGCCCCCAACAAAAGAGGTTTGTTAAACATGCTAAAAATAGAGAGAGGAAAAAAAACTGTAACAAGGGCCAATGCTCTAGGCCTATGAAAGCTGAGACTACAGCCGAGACAGAAAGCACAAAAGAGGAACAAGGTAGCCTAGAGGTTATACGATTTCCGGCGCGCTATAAACTGACACAAATATAAAAGCAGACCAAAGTCCAACTTTTCTGCATCGAGTGCAATTAGTTAAAGGTCATGTTGGCAGAGTATTCCTTGGGTAAAAGAGAGGAGTCTAAGTTCTGAAAGTAGATTAAACGCCATTCTAGAAGCAAAAGAGAACCAAGAACGTTAGAGGGGGCCTTGGTATTCCTCTCTGCCTGTCCCTCGCTGACATTGTAACACAGTTCAAAGTTGAAATTCCCATAAAATCGTTTCGAGAAAATGATAGCAGTGCTTACTATGGGATCAAGAACATTAAGATGGACATAGAAAATGGAAAGAATAAGAAAACAATAGCAGAATTATAACATCAATAAAAACGAGGATGTAAAAAAACCCAAAAAACATGTTTCTCTATCTGTCGTGGTTGTATTTCTCTCTCTTTATCCGCGATTCCTGGGGCGTTGGTTGTCTAATGGTTTCATAAATAACCTTAGTGTTGCAGGGGACGCTGAACCAATACAGTTGACCCGTGATTCACTT